TAACCTTTTCTTAAAAATCTCTCTCTAATATCTCTTTCCACATGAAACTTTCTATAGTTAATAACATATCAGTATTATGGTGCAAATACTTGCAGTACTTCTATAATCTTCTGGTACTATATTAATTTGGATCCACTTATATCTATTTCCTAAGTTCTGTGGGAACCAAACTATGTTCCTTTTTTTCTATCCCCTTTACAACATATGTAATCATTTAATAATACACAGAAGACCCTCAATATATGCTAAATCAGGTGCTGAAAAGAAATTTTAAACTTTTATATCTAATGACTTTTTGCAATGGAAGTTTCACTCCCCTTACCTCTCCTTTAAGTATTCTTAGTGAACATATTAGTAATTGGTAAATATTTGCTCTGTTTTCAAAAATGTCAAAGACTGTTTATTTTATCAGTATTCCTAGCAAATTGTTCTAATACTCATTGACATACATATGCAGAAATTAGTTCATCTTTAGCATTCTGGATAAAACAAATGCGAGCATTTCCGTATTTAATGCCTTATAAATAAATGCCTCAGTTACTTATATTACTTTCCTTAATCATCACAAACTACCTTGTGAGGTACTAATATTAACCACTTTTTGTAGCATGTCAGTTTGAAGTCCTGACTCAAGCTGATAATGTATGATAGAAACATATTACAAACCAGATCTTCCTATGTCAATTTTTTTCCTCTTTCTACATCAAAATGCATATACATTTAGTTTAGTTTTACTTTAAAAGCCCTCACTATGGACCTGGTACTCTGCTGATCCAGAGGGTTGTAGGTGATTGAGATATACTCCTGTTCTCAAGGAGCTTATAGTCTAGGGTGGGAAACAGACACATAATGTAATGATAAAATGATAAGGGTAAGAAACACTGAAGACATGTATTTGGGGATTCAGAGAAGACTTCCTAGAACAGACAAAGTCTTGGCTAGGATAAGAAGTGACCAGACAAAGATATTGAGGAAGAACTTATGGGCAGAAAGGAATATGATTGAAGGAAAAAGACTGGAATAGCATGATGTTTGTCAGGACACAGCAAGCAGTGTGCTATTATTCAAGCAAACAATGTGACACATTTACAAAAGTGGGAATGTTAGGAGATAGAGCAAAAAAGAAATTAAGGGTCAGGTGCCAAAGAACAGAAAAGAATAGAGAGATCTGAGGATTATTTAAGAGAAAAAAAACAGTATGGCCCAGTTCAGAGGTGGGGAAGAAACAATCAGCTATGAGGACTCTCAGGTGTCTGGGTGAGGAGTTAGAGCAGATTTGGTCGAGTGGGAGGCAGATGATAACTGAGTTTGGGCATGTTGAATCTCAGGTTCCATGGAATATTAAATGGATCTGTGCATTAGAAAGGTAGAAAATTGGTGTATAGCTTAGAAACATCAGGTCTAGAATGTGCAATGATGTGGAATTATCAGTCCCTGTTAAACACAGTTACACTCCATCACATAATGAAAAAGTAAATAATATGACTACAAACTACTTTTCATGGTTAGGATTGTTAAAATCACTGCTGCATGTGTTCATAAAAAATGTTATAGGAGAGAAAATGGCTAAAGCAAAGCACTAAATCATCAACTAAAAAATATTGTATAGGCGATTGAAAACATGATATGTCATAAAGTTTGACTCTGCTTTGAATTCTATACCATGTTTGCTAAAACATGTAAACATAAATAAAGTAAATAAAGTAAATAAATAAATTTACTTTATTTATAAATAAATAAAGTAAAACATAAATTTTACTTTTATTGTAGTAGTTTTCAATTTTACATACTTTATTTCTGCCTCAAAACTCACATTTATGGGAGTCATTTTCTCCTTCCAGGTAAATGTCAAATGAAATGCCACCAAACAGCGCAGGTACATTGCTCACAAAATATTTTAAAAGATTCAAAGATACCAATTAAAGAAGAATTTTATATTCCTCTATTACTTGCAAAAAACTTATAGCCCTAAAGTTACAGATGAGGTTATTAAATACTTGCTTTAACAAATGACAGGGCCATCACTATCTTTAAGGACCTGTGGACTGCTAGGGGTATTAAAAATTTCTAATAGTAAAATACAAATAAATATTGAAAAAATGTGTCAAAGTATTTATAAAAGAGATTGGAACTATAACCATCTAAATGTACAGGCTCATAATCCCTAATCTATAATTCCAAAACTCAAATACTCTGAAAACTGATATTTATTTGTAAGTATATTGCAAACTTGATTGGTGGTAAAACCAGACCTTACTAACATGAGGTCATTTATAGTCTTTATATTTTCCACACATTAGGAATATTCATAGAATTCTTTTCAGAAATATGAAAGTGTATAATTATAGGGTGCTTCCCAGAATCTGGCTAGTGGAGTGTTCCACAGTATACATTGTACACATAAAAAAATTGGGGAAACTCTAAACTTTAAACCACAAGGGGTTTAGATAAGAGATTGTGCACCAGTATAATTAAAATTCAAGGGGCTTCCCTGGTGGCACAGTGGTTGAGAGTCCGCCTGCCGATGCAGGGGATACGGGTTCGTGCCCCGGTCCGGGAAGATCCCACATGCCGCGGAGCGGCTGGGCCCGTGAGCCATGGCGCTGAGCCTGCGCATCCGGAGCCTGTGCTCCGCAACGGGAGAGGCCACAACAGTGAGAGGCCCGCGTACCGCGAAGAAAAAAAAAAAATTCAAAAATTTTTAACTTAGATGGTATTATAATCTAGATTTTCAACATAACTGAATCTACAGTTAAAATATTTTCACTCCTGTACTTTTAAGAAGAGATTTATCTATGCAATATAGTTATGTATGAAAACATTTCCAGTTTTCTCCTTTCCTCCCAAATACCTTGTTCTAATATTTTATTTTTACAACATGCTTATAAAATAGTCAACCATGTGTTTATAGACAAAGAATAAAAATTTACAAACCAAATTATTCTTAGAATCACCTTGATAGTGTTAGGATCCCAAATTGATAGCATCAGGCTTAAATAAAATATAAGAAGATAACTGTAGGAGGAATACTTGTGTAGTCCTACACTTATGAACAAAGAGTCAACTTCTAAGAAGAGTGTGGGGAAATTGGGGAATACATGGCATTTATGCAACTCAATTATAAACTTCAGTTTTCTGCTGTTCTAATACATAATAAAAGTATGCTGAACTTACCCCCAAATATAATACAATCCTATATTTCTTAATGAAACACTCTGTCCACAAAGAGAAATGACTGCCCCATTCTGTGTTTGTCACAGAAGGTAATGAATAGTGTGATTGGTTCTGAGACCAATCCTGGTTAACAACATTAACCAACTCAAATAATCTTTGAGGAGAGTAAGCATGATGATAATCATTCTAGAAATCACCTTATGAAGAACAATTGCAAAGACTAAAATGTCTAGCTTGAAAAATATAATTCTTAGTGAAGATACGATAGCTGTCTTTTGAAGTGAATCAACATATTCTATGTGATTAAACAAATTAGTGTACCAACAGGTTAGAGTTATTGGAAATATTATTGCATCTCAACACAAGACAGACTGAAAATGAAAAGAACTGGGACAGGAGTTATGGAATTACCTAATGGGAATGTGACAGAGCATTCTAGGTGATCCTTTTTATTCTGAGAGTCATGAATATCTCAACATCATACTGCAAGTTAATAGTATGTCTGGGTTTAGAATTTTATCAACTTTGATTATATAATTTTCAATGTTTATGAAAAGATATTTCTTACAAGACATAACTTCATGGAGAGAGGTCAACTCTTCAACATTTGCTATACTGTCTTTTAAGTAGAGGGCCAATCAAACTTGTATTTAAAAGAAAATATAGTTTATTGAGGGGTGATTATTAAAAACGTTATTCGTATTCTATGATTTTTCTCATACCTAAAATAAACACAATTATGCTACTCTTAAATAAGAGAATTGACTCATTATTAAATTTGTATATAAATTAGCTGAAAATCCTTAAAATCTTCTGTTCTTTCTATAAAATGAAACATATGACAATAATATATTAAAAATAACATTGTTGGGGCTTCCCTGGTGGCGCAGTGGTTGAGAGTCCGCCTGCTGATGCAGGGGACATGGGTGCATGCCCCGGTCCGGGAAGATCCCACATGCCACGGAGCGGCTGGGCCCGTGAGCCATGGCCACTGAGCCTGCGCATCCGGAGCCTGTGCTCCGCAACGGGAGAGGCCGTGGCAGTGAGAGACCCGCGTACCACAAAAAAAAAAGTTATTTTTTATAATATTACTACATATAATAGTAATATTATTATTACATATACATAATGCATATAAAATGTTATTACATAGTACATATAAAATAATTATTTTATAAATATTTACTTATAAAATAAAATTTTTTAAATCTAACTATTTTAAGTTTGTGAGAATAAAGCTGAACTTTTGCCTTTTCTCCTATTTCCAAAATTTTTTTTTTTTTAAAAGAAACTGGTCAAAATGTTGTTTTCAGAAGAGAGGGTAATACATCAATAAGTTCAAGAATTTTAAGCAGGTGTCAGGCATTATTAAAGAAAGACAAATAAAAAATATTGGACAGCAGACTTCCAAAGTACTATTATTTCCAAAGACAGACTACATAACTGAAAATGTAAAATACATATTTCCAAATGTCATAATAGTGTTTAAAAAGTAAGAAGGAGAAAACTATTCCCACATTCTTGTAATTAAAAGCTGATCAACAGGTAATTTTCTACCTCCACCAAAAAACAGATAAATTTTTCAAGAGAAAGACCAGATAGGAACTCATGTTTCAAATCCCCCACCACTGAAGTACCACAATTTTGTTTGAGGCAAGGTTGCATGTGAATTAATTATCTATTCTTAAGTTTTTCTCACCAGAATTTGCATATCATATCTACTGAGGGCAAAAGTAATTCTAAGAATGGGAATAAAGCAAAGCTTATTTAAGTCTTATCACATTTTCAGTTGCAGTAGGAAGGACAGAAGCTCCCAGGAGGCATACCTGTGGCAGGGCTGAATTGAGCTGTCTCTGGAGTGAATCTCTGTCATAGATGACATCCTGCAGTCTTTGCTGGGCAAGTGAGAGGCTTTCTTGGGTTTCCCGAAGGGTGTCTAGAAGACGATCCCTTTCATCTAGCATATTCACCATCAGCTGCTCAAAATGGGAGTCTGAGTCCGAGCCACTGCTTTGGGACCCCCTTTGGCTCATTGGGGTGTCCTCATTAATTGTGGGCATCACTTCACACATCATTGCTTAAAGAAAGTAAAAGGGAGGGAAGTCTTAGTAAAAAAATGATTTACAGTAATCCCACCTGACCTTCAACTCTCCAAACTCTTTGCAACTTATCAACCTAATTGTCTATTTCTCCTCTACCCACTGCCCCAATTCTAATGATGCTAAAAGTTTTACCTCAATGAAATCTGATTCACTGACTTCCTCCATCTAACATGCTTTCTCTTTTCATGACAGTCTAAATATCTCCTACCTACAAAACACAGCGTGATTTCACCTACTTCTCAAAGTTTTTTCATCATTAACCCCACCTAATTCAGTTTATAATAAGATGTTACTAAGCTTATTAATTGATCACCTTTCTTTCCCTGCAAGTTTACAAATCACTTATAGCTAATACCTCCATCTTACCCTTATTAATTATTATGTTGTTAACAGCAAGCATAGTGTTTGGCATTTAACAGGTGGGAAGTAAATGATGTTTGTATTAAATAATTGAATGAATTAATGTTCATTCTTCATTTAGAAAATCCCCAAATAATTGAGTATTCATTTTATATAAAAATTAGCTTTTACTTTTTAATTTTATCAATTAATTTTTTTCATACAACTAACTTAAAGCTTCTTGACTTTACAACTCCCGTTTTATTATTGGGTTGGCCAAAAAGTGCCTTTAGTTTTTAAGTAAAAATAAAAGACACATTTTTCATTTTCACCAAGAACTTTATTGAACAACGTATTCACCCTTTTGTACCACTACCTTCTGCCATTTCTCAGGCAACTTCATAATTCCATCTTCCCAAAACTTTTTATCTTTTTGAGCAAAAAACTGTTCCAGGTGTGTTTTACAGTCTTCCAGGGAATTGAAATTTTTTCCATTAAGAGAATTTTGTAAAGACCTAAGTAAATGGAAATCTGAAGTTGCAACGTCTGGTGAATATGGCGGATGAATCAGAACTTCCCAGCCAAGCTGTAACAGTTTTTGCCTGGTCATCAAAGAAACATGCGGTCTTGCATTATCCTGATGGAAGATTATGCGTTGTCTGTTGACTAATTCTGGACTCTTTTCGTCAAGTGCTGCTTTCAGTTGGTCTAATTGGGAGAAGTACTTGTTGGAATTAATCATCTGGTTTTCTGGAAGAAGCTCATAAGAGAGGACTTCCTTCCAATCCCACCAGATACACAACATCACCTTCTTTGGATGAAGACTGGAATTTGGTGTGGTTGGTGGTGGTTCATTTCACTTACCCCACAATCTCTTCTGTTCCACATTATTGGACAGTATCCACTTTTCATCGCCTGTCATAATTTGTTTTAAAAACGGAACATTTTCATTACATTTAAGTAGAGAATCGCATGCAGTTTTCTTACCTTATGTGGAACCCAAACATCAAAGTGATTAACATAACCAAGCTGGTGAAAATGATTTTCAATGCTTGATTTGGATATTTTGAGTATGTCGGCTATCTCCCGCATGGTATAACATTGATTGTTCTCAATTAATGTCTTGATTTGATCGCTATCAACTTCAACTGGTCTACCGGACTGTGGTGCATGGTCCAGTGAGAAACCTCCAGCACAAAACTTTGCAAACTGGGCTTCCCTGGTGGCGCAGTGCTTGAGAGTCCGCCTGCCGATGCAGGAGACGCGGGTTCGTGCCCCGTTTCGGGAGGACCCCACATGCCGCGGAGCGGCTGGGCCCGTGAGCCATGGCCACTGAGCCTGCGCGTCCGGAGCCTGTGCTCCGCAAATGGGAGAGGCCACGACAGTGAGAGGCCCGCATAACGCAAGAAAAAAAAAAAAAAAAACTTTGAAAACCACTTCTGAAACGTTCGATCAGTCACAGCACCTTCTCCATACACTGCACAAATTTTTTTTGGATATCGGTTGCGTTTTTACCTTTCTTGAAATAATAAAGCATAATATGCCAAAAATGTTGCTTTTTTTCTTCCATCTTCAATATTAAAATGACTATACAAAAATTCACCAATTTTGATAAGGTTTTTTTAAATGCACACTAATATGACAGATGCCACATACAGTCTAACAAAATTGTTTTGAATGAAATCAAAGATAACTAATTGCTACTAGAGCCAGCTTATGGAAAAAAACGAACGAACATTTTGGCCAACCCATTAATTTTATATACTCTCTTCCTGAATTCCTACAGTAGTCTACACAGAGTAGACAAGTGATTCTGACTGAATTAGACATATGCTTTATGAAATAGACTGAGATGCATAAATTTGTTTAGGTTATTATACTACCAATTACACTTATTCCTTTGTTTCCTATGAGCTGCTTTGTCTGGTTTCCATCCAAACAATACAAACTAACACTCTTT